TTTGGAGTCCGTGTAGCGTGCCCACCCCCAAGATCCTATATGTATGTGTTATGAGAGTGTGAGTAATGTGAATGTCTAAGTTGTGAGATAAAATTGAAAAAAATATTTAAATCTTACAACAATAACATCTCCTTTTTATCCAAAAACTTCATTTAGGTAACTAAGCATCTTCCTGGTAATGGGAAATAATGGGCTGTTTTTAAAGCAATATATTTTTATTTCACGACAATCACGTCAAATTTATATCCACAAAAGCTTAGTTATACACGACACAATATACTATATAATCATGCTGCACAGCAACCAACTAGCGATGAGCTAAAATTACCTTTATTTGTTATTGTTGTTTGTTTGTTGGGTTTTTTTAATTAAAAGAAAATTAATATAATTTGCAACATCATTAATAGGCAAAAAAGTAGTCTTAAGCACCAGTTTGGAGCTTTGGTGCTTTTCAAGGTTTTATATTAATGTGAAGCTACTGTATAACCTCTCATATGACTAGTGCTGATATTCTGTATAAACATAAAACAAAACTGTATAAAAATCATCAAATGATAAAGAGCCCCCCAAAAGACTATTACACCCAAAGTTATTTATTATAGAATGAGCAACAAAAGAAACCTATTTAAGTTTTGAAAGATTTGAGAATACAGAGAACTGAAATACATTTGTGTTTACATTTTTCTGATTGTTAGAACAGTCCATATTGTTCGATTACCTTATCTGAAAAGATGAAGCCCAGGACACCAGCAGTCAGCTGCAGGATGAAGATCACGATCAGACAGATACAGAACTGGGAGGAGGGAAAAAGAGCCGTCATTACCACATTGTAATTTAAACCTCCTCCTGTGTCTCCATGAAGCTGTTGCTTATGAGCACCTCACTTGTAAAAAAAAAAAGTGCAGAATAAGCAAGAAAGCAGAGAACAACTAGTGAACTCTAGAAGCAAAATATTTTAATGGTTTCCTAGTGTAACCTGTTTGCTTGGCATAGATAGCACAAATATAACCAGTGATCTTAAAACATCGTGCATCTGGACCCTTAAAGATGTAATAAAAACTTTAAAATCCATTAAATACGTCTTCCTCACTGTTTGCAAGAGGCAGAGGTTTTCTCGGAGGGACCCCACACAACCGCAGAAGGTGATGATGAACATGAGGACCCCCACGATCAACAGCATTACAGCGGGGTCCACAGCGAGACATGCGAGCGCTGTTTCTAAAGCAGAACGGGAGAGAGAAGACACTCAAAGGATAACACAGACAGAGGGGGCAGGTTTGGAATTCAGAAATTGCATTTTCAAGTATGTTTTTAGTGAAAAAGTGGACTAACAAAGCCTTACAGAAACAAAAGCACTCTACCTATATGTGATGGGACTCCCACTGTGTTATTAAAAAAGACTGTATGCTTCATAAATAGAGAATTGTTTTACCTGCGTGTTTCACTATGCGGGCATACACTCCGACTAACACCAACACCAGAGAAATTATCTGAGAACAAACACATAGAAAAAAAGATTACCCAAGATTTCTTTATCCTTGGGGCAATTAAAAAAAAATAGAAGTGAAGTGTAATATGCACTCGAGGGGAATATGAAGAAATATTTCTTTTATGTTTCTGCTTGTACAGGGTGCGTCATCATCTTTCCAGAACACTCTACACTACATGAGTCACCGATAAGGCTGCACTGATGATTTTCCAGAAACATTCACTCTGAATCAGTGTTAAACTGCAAGACTTCATCACCAACAATTGGTTGTTAAAACTAGGAGATTCTTCCAGTCTCTCTGCTTTAATCTGACTATATTAACCTACAGCAACCTGCAGACTTCATTAAAAAAAAAATAAAGGCTCTTTCACTCTGCACTGCTTTCTCAGTCTCAATAGAATAATAGTAAATACTCTTCCCAGCCTGAATGACATAGATCGAGTTACTGCAGACACTGCGCCTTAATGTGGTGGGAGAGAGAGGTCAGGTTTGTCTTTTTGGAAGGGTTTAGTTTCACAGTCAAAGGGAAAAAAGGAAGAAAAAAAAAACAGGGGTGATGTTAGAAAGGTAATTCATGTCTGCATACGAGTCAGTAATTCCCATGAAAAGAAGCGGTGTGCGCTACGAGACTCACTGTAGCTGGAGGGAGCAGAAATGACAACACATTCCATACAAGTTTTTACACAGACTTATCCTGTTTGTACACGAGCACTGCCTCAATACTGCTGACACACTTATGCACAAAAAAAAAACATGCAAAAAATGAAACAATTACAAATATAAAGGAAACACTTCTACAAACACTGAGCAAGGACATAAGAAAAACACTAAAACTTCATGTCAGATCTTGGTTTAAGCATTCTAATTTTCCTGAAAAAGGGTTAGTCTCCTCACATGGATCTAAACCTCAGCTGGTTAAATCTGCAACAAGAGATCAACTCTAAAAATGCTGTAAGAAATCTCCTTAAGTTCTGGCCCACGGTCACCTGACACCGCAACCCACTGATGGGAACGTTTTGTTTACAACCCACCTTCTGAGTTTCGCAGTTTTACATAATTTGCGGAATTTTAATTTGAATGATGTTATTCAGTCATTTGTTGAAATAGAGATGTATCACCACCTGCACAACCTGGCACAGGGGACAACCTCTGTCAGGAAACAGATGTGAGGTGGGGACATTAAACAAATGTGTGGCCCCATTAGCACATTGACCCTGAAAGTTTGCTTGGCATTGAGTATGTAACAAAAAAGAAAATCAGTGAGACTGGGAAAACTCCTTTGTGTTCACCTTTTCTGGTGGCTGAAACAAACCACAGCACTGACTGAGGTGACCAAATCCAATCCTGATTTTCAAAGTGAGAATAAAACTTAGTCAATGTTTAAACACTGAGCTGAGAACACCTGGTGTATTTGTTTGATGTGTATGCCTTTGTGAGTGAGACCCATACTTCCTTCTCCCTTGTACTCTTTCCCTCAGTTTCACTCTGAACACCAAAGTTAAAGAACAACTAAGTGAAACAAAGCAGCAAAGTGTGCTGCTGGCCGCTGACAAGGAAGTGATGCCTTACATGGTTGGCATAACTGAAATCACAGCATAAACGCCTTTGAACTATTTGTTATTCAAATGTCCCCTGAAAGCTCCAAAGACAAATGATTAACCAGCACACAGAGTTCCTAAAATGAAGGTCACCACACGCTGAGATCAGTAAGTCAATGCTTTTATAATAGCGCGCGATTACTTACCCAAAATATAAAATTAAATATGAACAGCAGGTACTTCACAGCTGGGCTGACATACGTAAACTCCTCGTCTCTGCTTGTTCGTGCCATGGCGACAGGTGAGCGTCTTTATTCAAGTTTGCGCGCAAAAAGAGCCAAAAGCTGGGAAAAGGTGTTTCCTAAGGTTAAACCGAACACCTCTCAGCATGATGACGACGACTGATTTGCTGACATTCTCACACATAACAGTAAGGTAACGAGTTCCCAGCTGCCCGCCGACCCTGGTTGATAGTAGCTGGGTGTGTAAAAACTGGGTGTTCCCATTTTTTCTCCACTGTTTTTTTTTTTTTTTTTTGTGTGTGTTTTTTTGTTTTGTTTTGTTTTGTTTTTCCACAACAGATCATACAACCTGGGGCACTAAATGTCCCCTGATATTAACAGGGTCCAAGCACTGATTTAAAAGACTGAGTTGGGATTTTATTAATTGGAAACAACGGTTACATTATCAATAAGTACAAAAATAAAACCCCAATTGTAGGTAAACGTGTATGAATGCAACACTAGAGACAAAAAAGGGCAAAAAAATAGAATATGGAAAATAATATGAGTTTTTTTCTTTTCTAGTCTATTAGAAAAAAGTAAACGTGAACCACGTTTGAGCTAAAACTGTCCTCTCGCTGTCTGCTTTTATTTTGAAGGCACGATATCGTCATAACATCCGCTTTACCTAGAGGTTATTTCCGTGTTTATTAGGATGTCTGCAGAAGTAATACTCAGTCAATTTTATAGAAATATATAAAATACGAAAATGGCGTGGAAAAACGAAGGTTTGTGCGATGTTGCGCGTTTGTTTGCTAGTAGGTTTATTTATTTTCTTTAGCTCAGAGAAGACTTCTTAAAACAATTAGGCTGTTAAGCTAACGTTGCTAATTCTCTCTATTCGTATAGCTGTAACCTGTTAATTGCCGTTTCTAGTTAAATTATGTGGTGCTTTCACTCCAAAACCTTTGTTTCCAGTGTCTTCGGCAGACCGTGTTCTTCCTCCAGCCTCTCTGCGTCTCCTTGTCCCTCCAGTGAGACTCATGTCTGCCTTCGTGTGGCAGGTAGCGCAGCAGCTCAAAGTGATGCAGTATGACAAACTGGCGGACTTCATCAGTTTGGCAACAGAGATGGTCCCAGAGCTGCTCAGTCCCACCCAGAAGGCTCAGCTCATCCTGGGCCTGAGAGCAAGGGTGAGGGATTAGTCCCAACTGTAAATACATTTTAATGTCAGTGAAGCTGAGATGAGGAATTAATTAATTAATTAATTAAAACCTATACTAATGTAGTACTTATCTATGTGGCCCCTCAGAGGGTCTTTTTCCTGCCTTCACCTTAATGTGCTAGTGCATGTTTAAGTAATAATATATATGGTAGGTTTTGAATATTGTTGTTGTTAACCACAATTTACATTTTAACCACATTTAAAAGGCTTTGGTAGTTAATTGAACTACTTGGAACAGTGGTGAACGTTCCCAGGTATGGCCAACCTACCAAAGGTGCTCCAAGAGTACATCGACAACTCATCCAGGTGGTTGCAAAACAGTCTTGTTACATCTGGGATAAAAGTAACACAGCATTTCTTGAAAAAAAAAAAAACATCATACCAACAGTAAAACATGGAAGTGGTAGTATGACAGTCTGAAGCTACTTTGTTGTTTCAGGACAGGATGACTTACTATAATTGGTGGAACCATGAATTCTGCTTTATTCTAGAAAATCCTGAAGGAGAATGTCCAGCTATCGGGTCATGCCCTGAAAGTTTTTTTTATTTAGGTTATTTATTCAGCTTATTTTTGTCTAATATTGAGTTCCGTTATTCAGAATTTCATTCATTACATTTTTGTTGCTTTCGAAGTTGAAGTGCTTTGTGTTGCTTGTTATTACACGCTTAAATATTGTGCTTCTGCTCATAGTGGCAGTCATTTTTTTCACAGTGTGTCGTGATCTTCTTTTTTTGCAGCTGGTTCTTGAGCTGTGTCGAGGTGATGGTGTATCCAACCTGCAGATGATCCAGAGTCAACTAGATAAAATCCACACCTGCAGTGTTGAGCTGAGCTCTAATCAGGAGATGGTGGGTGTTTTTAAAGACAATTCAGAGCTGTTTCATCACCAAATTTAAAAAGACAAACAAGCAAGCAAACAAAAAATTAGGCAAACAATGAGCTTTAGGAAAAGATAGATCTAAAATACAGAAAAAAAAACACCTTTTTCCTGTATTGTGTGTCTTCTTTTTGACAGGCCAGTTCTGATATATTGAAGACATCATACAGCAACTTTGCTAGCCTGGTTCAGAACATTTTGAATGTTCCTTTTGAGAAGGAGTTCTTTTTTCAGGTAAGTTGGTTTCTGAAAAAAATCACAAGTCATAAGTTTTGAAGCCTCTGATTTAGCTACAATCAGTGGCTCACATGGTTCTAACTTATCAGTCACAAGGTAGCCACAATCTGTTTTTCTCGTTTTCTGCACATGGTACCATAATTTACACGTTGTATTAAATGTATAATCTATAATCTATGCTTCTCATCAAGTAGATGAACCTATAGTTCAGATATGATTTCTTTAGGAGGTTTTTCCTGCCAACTACGGCTCCGTCTATAACCAAAGGATCCAGCAGCTTGTGTCCGTCTTCCTGTCCAGACTTGAAGAGCTGCTGCCAGTACCAGACCTGCAGCAGGTACTCCAGCAGTACTACAAAAGTAACTTTGCAGCGCGAGATCAAAATTTGTAACCTCTAAGATTTTTTGTTCTCTTACAACCTGCATTTCTGTGGTCTTTTCTTTCCATCTCAGACAGCAGCTTGGCTCAATGAAACACCTGTATCAGAAGAAATTGGACTCCATCTGTCTGAACCCTTCAGTTTGAAGACCCTGCTGCATCATCACAGACAGACGGGGACTCTAAGTTCAGGTGAGAACCTTTTCTTTTTAATGAAGTATTATAAATGAGTGAGTAATGTGTAATATATCGGGGTTTCTTCTCTGACAGCACGGTCAAGCAGTGAGGACGATGTCATTTTGTCCACACTAGCCCTCCCTTCTCAAACTGTCGCAGAGAGGTTCACTGAGGCTTATAGTCAGGAAGATCATGACAGTGAAGAACAAACACCATCACTGGAGGGCTTAGAAGAAGAATCAAGTCAAAGCTTTGATGTCACGGCAAATGATTGGCTGCCAAAAAAGAAACCAGGTCAGAAAGAAAAGTAGGAGACCAATATTACTCTTGAATCAGTTAGTCTTATCTCTCTGACTTGCTGTGCTTTGTACTGTCTTCAGGTCCTTTCTCTTGTTTATTCATCTGCCCTCAGTGCTCATTCACACATCGCATAAAGAGAAAAGTCCAGGAGCACATCCAGAGTGAGCACCAGATAACCGCTTCTATTCACACAAACTTTTCAGGGAAAAAAGTCAGGAAGAAGATACGTCAGAAAAGTCAGAATGCTGTGAAAAATCAAGTAAAAGGTAACTCAGAGAAACGGAGGAAAACCGAACCAAAAAGTGTGGCTAAAAACTGGGAATGCAAGCAGAAAAATGACAATGTAGAAAATAAAGAAAAGCGTAGATGGAAAGAGCCCAAGCAGGAAGACAGGAGGTTTCTGAGCACGCGACCTGTGAACAAAAACTTCACAGAGAAAGAAACCCAATGTCCGATGTGTGAAAAGTTCTTTGAACATCCAAATCAATTGAAGGCTCACATGAAGCTCCACAGCTTCCCCTACCGCTGCAGCCAGTGCGAGAAGGGATTCACCAGCCCATCAGGCTTTTATCAGCACCAGAGGCTTCATAAGAGAGGACGAATATTCATCTGTAACCAGTGCAACAAGGGATTCCTGTGCAGGTATTCACTCAAGCAGCATGAACGCCTGCACAACGGTCCCACCAACTTGTGCAACATCTGCGGGAAATGGTTCAGCAAAGCTGGCATCACAAGACACATGCAGATGCACAGAGGGGAGAAAAACTACCTCTGCACCACTTGCGGGAAATCCTTTTTGTCTTCGGGCGAGCTGCTGCTGCACACTCGGTCTCACACGGGGGAGACGCCCTACACCTGCGTCCAGTGCGGGAAGGGTTTCTCCAGCAAAAGTCACCTAAATGTCCACATGCGCTCTCATACAGGGGAGCGCCCATACCTGTGCTCTGAATGCCCCAAGCGTTTCCTTACGTTAAACTGCCTAAAGAGACACACACTCAGCCACAATGGGGTGAAACCATTCAAGTGTCCAAACTGCGAGAGAGAATTCTCGCAGCAGGGGAATCTGAAAAGACACCTTGCCACTCATAAACCCCACATGTAGTTTGCAGTTCTTATTTTATTGTCAGTCAAACAAGTTTATTTCAAACTGGAATTTCAAAATGAACTACCTTCTGTACGAAGAAGTAAGTGTGGGAAGCATTAACCATGCAATCGCTGGAAGTATAAGCTTTGTTTTCTTCAGTGTATTTCGGCAGGCATTAAAGTGCACTTGAGCATATGCTTACCATCAGCGATGTCAATTTCATTTTAGTTTCACACACCATTACACTCGCTCACATTGTAGTGTAGAAAATCTGATGATGACGCTTTCTGGGTGGAGTGCTGGTTAAATATGCAACACTTTCACTTTTCAGCTCTCTGTAAAACTATTCTAACTTCATCCCTGTTTAAGAAACCTGCAGCCTTCCCTTTGAGCTGAATCCTATGAATGTTCTTGTGCCACTGAATTTTTTTTTTGGCATTCTTGTCAAAAATGTAATTATCTTAAAATTTGGGGGTTTTCTCAAAATTTAGACGTATTCACTCGAACAATGTTTCAACAACTTTAAATTCTGACTTGTGGAAGGTGTTTTTTTTCAGCAGGGGAACCAAAACTCTGTAGGACACAACCCGAAACGTCAGAGAAAACCGGTGCAATCTACACATCCGTTAGCGCCTGAGTGTCATTTCAAGTTTCAGTTGTTTCTTTGGCATTGTCTTACTGTGCAGGATCACCTCACTGCTGCCAGGTGAAGTGATTAATATTTATTTGTTACAATGAAGAAGCCAGGAAATGTCCTCCCAGCATTCACCTTAAAGTTTCTGCAAATCAGGCACATCACCTCTCCCTCAATGACACCTTCTGCATTCAAACTTTGGAAGGAGCCAGGACTGATCCACAGAGTCCTTTACAAACGTAGGCATCTGGAAACTTAGTGAACATGTTTTCTTCCAAAGTTGGACATGCTTAGAGAGCAAAAGCCCACACAGTTCTTAGAAGGAACTCAGTAGTGTTTTG